GCGGCACCAGCCAAGAAACGGGCACTGTGACGCAGGTATTTTGCATGACACGAGAACTGATTGAGGTCACATAAGACAGCTCGTTTTCCAATGCTGGTCCCACCCGTACTGCCACATGGCTGTGCAAAGTGACCAATGCAATCGGCGCACCCCTAAGCACCAATAAACCACATTGCTGTGCATTCACACACAAGAGTCTGTCACTGTACCGCTGTGCCACTGTAGGGCCGCGTGGTGTTGGCGCTGTGTGCCACATCTCGTGACTCGTTTCGCGTTTTTTCTTGTTTCTTCTTTTTTCCCTTTGGGGGTCTGTTTTAAAAGGCCAAGCTGACAGTACTGGGGCGAATGAACAGGTTCGGATTTTCGTACAAGTAACCGTCCGTCAGTTTATGTTGTACAGTCTGTCTTAAAAGTCCGCGAAAAAGCAACGGTGGATCCATCAAGCCTGACCGAGGAAGGGCCTGCTCAATTTGAGTCATCAAAGCAATTGATATTCTCGTCCATTCCCCAGGTCAATTGGTTCGGTGACTTTCAAAGTAAAGCAGGCCTTTCTTCAGTAAGGCTTGATGGATCCACCGTCACTTTGCGCGGTACTTTTAAGACAGACTGTACATACGAATTTTACAGGATTTTATGTGTTGCCCCTCCCACAGGTGACGGAGTTCACCTATCAGGTGAAGTCGCTGACGTCGGTCGGCATCACCTACCTGGTGGACCTGAACGTCGGCGCCTGCACCTGCAGGATGAACCGGCGGACTGGCGGCTGCAAACACCTCCGAGCCGTGCGGCAGCAGACTGGCGCTGTGCCGGAGGCGACGGCGACAAAGGAGACGCGGAGGGCCTTGATGGACATCGCCATGGGGACCAGCCAGCAGCTGCCAGGCAACTGGTTCGACCCTCTGGTCGCCGAGCCGTCCACCTCGTCACCTCCTGTCCCCACGCCCGCCAGCGCCCCCGGAGTCGCGCAGCCCCAGCCGTCGCCGAGTCCCGAGGAGTACGACGACGACGCAATGGACTTCGAGGACCCCGCCGCTGCGGCGGCGGCTGTCAGTGGAGCTGAGCAGCGACGCTCAGATGACCGGACACGCCAAACCGTGGCGTTCATCCAGGAGTGGGCAGCCTTCATGTGCGAGGCAGTCGTCCAGGACGACACCTGGGAGAGGGCTGCCGCTGCCTTTCAGCAGAGGTGGGGCCAGCTGCCCACTGCTGGCCGCCAGTCCGCTCTGCACCAGTTTGGAGGCGCGCAGGGCTGCCGGCGGAACGCCACCCAGATTCCGGTCCAGCCGACCAGCACTGCCCGTCGCACCAGCACCAACGTGCGGGGGCGCGCTCGCTGGCCCGCTGGACGGCCGTGCCGCTCCGCGCGCTCCGGGGAGCACGGCTACGTGGCAGCCTCCGCCAGGCGGTCGGCGGCGCCCCACAGCCTGGCCACCTGTGTTGACCAGAACCGCCCCCTGGGGCGCTGAGTGATAGAGGTGAAGTGGGGGTGACCGGGGCAAGTTGGTGCCAGGGGGGGGGGGGGTAAGTTGGGACGGAAGGGATATTTCCAATACTTCTCGACAGTTGGCGTTCAAACTTATTTTGTACATGAACAGTAACGCCGTCTGTTTGTCAACGTGGTGTCGGCGCGTGCTGAGGTAAGTGCTGTTAATAATCGCTACAAATGTGTTTCAGGTACCAAAAGTGATTTTCTTGCTGTGAAAATATTCTCTTCTAGTGTCGTTGTGTGTGCCTTTTTGTTTGCCGCAGGAGTACTGCAAACGTTTGTGTTTTGTCGTTAATGCCCGCATGGATTAGCGATGATTGTTCATGTGAAACATGAATAAAAATGTGTTTAGATAAACTGTTTTTCCTAGTGTACCAACTTGCCTTAGGCCTTGGCCCAACTGACCCCCCGCCGCGGGGTAAGTTGGGACATTGGAGGATGGCCGCTTTGATCAGATATGACACCAAGACGATGCTACCATCTCTCTTATATTAAGTCTTCTTTAAAAGATAAAGAAATCAGATCTCAGTTAATAGCCAACAAATAATGATGTATAGTTATACCGAAGTTATGACGCTTCAAGCAATAACTGGCTCAACTAGCGTTAGCGGAATGACGCAAAATTAGCAGGTGACCAGTGACCACTCCCAGTTCGCTAATATGTTTGCATCATTAACATACCTTCCACTATAAGCACGGTTTCTCAATCTTAACATAAAATATAACATCTTTTCATGTAATTTGCATCTCTAATATACCCCAGTCAAACTTGCATCACTAATGTAGTGGGGGACTTCTTGGGAAGAATTAGTTTCTAGGGACTTACACATTTATGCTCATTTCCCCACATTTGTCGCCAGGGGGAGAATTCCCCAGAATTTTCCGCTAGGAGTGGCTGAGCCCTATGGTGAATTCAAAATACGCCCTGCAAACAGGCGTCGGGCAACAATCGCGAATGCGGCGCACTTGTGACAATAAGCAAAGGTCATTATAGTGTTACGACCATACGACGTACGGGAATGAGTTATCAGCTGTCTAATCGTAGACAACACAATGTCGAGCCTTAAACTGTACATAAGCCCGTATTGGTATTGTTTCTTTTATTTGGCTGTCGAACATTATTTATGGTTTGAAATATGATTTTATGTAAAATAATTGATATGAAAAAGCCGTCTTATAAGTTATGACCCCATTTCACCACACGCAACTTGACGCAAGTGGCAGAAATGACAATGATCAGCTGACGCATTTTTCTTGGCCGAAGTCAGAGCGCGCAGCCCGACGCACCACTACCGCACCGCAGAAGCCGCGCCCAAAGCCAGGGCCCCGGTAACGTGAGGCATCCCCGCGGGCAGCCCCGGGCTATCACATGACACCGGGAGGACGCGCGGCTCCGGCTTGGGTCAGCGCACGCTGCCCTGACTCGGCTACCTCACGTTACCGGGGCCCTGGCTTTGGGCGTGGTCTACCGCACCACCTAACAGGCGTGTTCGAAACCGCAGGAGCTGATGATGAACGGGTTTATCGAAACTTGATTGGATGAGCATATCGGTAATAGCGATTTCAGTGTGTGCATTTATTGTTCATAGTGGTGTGAAATGTGGTTGGGGTACGACCGACAACACGTCGGGGCGAATTTCGCACTGGGGTACTCAAAATTTGAAGAATTTAAGACGTTTCCATGAGTTTTGAAGGTATGGATAAGTTCTAAAAATCCGGTTCTCCTTATCTGGGCCATTAACTCCATACGGTCCAAGAAAGCTGGCACACTACCTTTAACTCTCTCAGGAAAAATCAGGACACCTGACATTTAAAAAGAGGTTCTGGAGCGTGCAGAGGCGGTTTCGTTTCAGGAGAGATAAATCTAAATGCAGGAACATTTTGGTGGCATTGCTGAGTTGACCACTGACCAGGTCTAGACAAGAGCCGCAGTTTGAGTGTGACCCCAGCCCGAACCATCTTAGAACCACCCATTTGTCTTCGATCGAAGTGTCCAGGGCCCAGTTTCATTAAAGGGACCCTCCCACCTTAACATTAGATTTGAGTTGAGATAGCCAAAATGGGGTCCCTGGCTCACAATTACCGGTTTCGGCACTCACAACATCGAGAAATGCCTTAAATCGGAAATATTGAATTTCAAAATTGCAGCATTTTGATTCAGAGGGGCTAATGCTTAGGAATACCCCTCTGAATGTGTGACGTCAGCGCAGATATCTGACGATTTTTAAATGTATGACTTAAACGTTTTGTAGTACGCGGTGGTATATGCTATTTGCGCGCAACATCTGCCGCAAACGCCGCACTTCTAAAATAAAGTCGCTAGAAAGAGCGGAGATCCCAAAAAAGTAAACAAAAGTAAAAGTCTACTATCTTGAAAACCGGTGAATATTTTTCGGTGAAATTTGGTAGATATTCGTTTTCGCTCTTTCTGAACCGAGCGACATCACTTTGATGCCAATTCATAAACTTTTTTGAAGGTGGGAGGGTCCCTTTAAAGGAACTATCCCACCTTCTAAAATGTTGTTAAAACCAGTTAAATTGTGCCCGACTTTATAGATTAGATGACCAGGAACACGGTTCTGCCATTTATTTTTCATTAAACATCTTAGGCTTCCCATATTACAAACACAAACTTTCAAATATGTGACGTCACAGCCCAAAATTACCTCCTTCCCCAGGCCACATTACTGTCATAAAGCTGATTCTTTTTACTCTGTAGGCACCACAACAAAGTTCAGACCAAGTTTTAAGCGATTTTTCAACGAACAAACCCATTTAAATCAGAATGACTAAACGAGGTGACGTCACACTAACGGTCGCTCCATGTTGAAGATAGGGCCTTGCGCAAGGCCCATTTTCAAATGAAGGGAACGAATTTCTTCAACACCAAGAGGCCGCGGGGGTTGCAACCTAGATAGATAGTGGTTTCTGAACCTCGCCGCAAACTTGGCTATCTCAACTCAAACCCCATGTTAAAGGTGGGATAGTCCCTTTAAGTGCGGCAAACTCAATTTGGGGTAAAATACCAAACTACCCCACTACGTTACTACAAAAATACTGCCCCAAAATTGAGTTTACCGTACTTTGTGAGATTGGACTAAGTGCTTAATGTCACCAAGTTAGTAAACTCAATGTTTGGGGTAGTATTTTTGTAGTTACGTAGTGGGGTAGCTTGGTATTTTACCCCAAATTCAGTTTACCGCACTTGGTGAAACTGGGCCCTGGATAAGTGTTATGCGTGCGATAAAGTCGGTGAGCAGCAGGGGGGGGGGGGGCATAGCGCGCTATATTGATAGAGGGACGCTAAATGCCTTTGACTCTGGCGTCTGTCCAGCAACAGCATTTCTTATAAGCGGGGAAAAGTCGTGACCTGTGCACCGTACAGTAAATAGCATATCTATCTATTGGTCTTGGCGGCCTTTCTGACCTAAAACAATACACCGCTCATCATTATACACACTCATGAAAAATTGGCGCTTAATTAGTCTGAAAAACGATGAGGGAAAATGCCGTATTACAAAAAGCGCAGTGTATTCAGCGACAATGATTCTTGAATTAAATCGAAACATATGCATGACGATCATCGACCATTCACACTAAGCAAAAGTTTCGAACAATCGGACACAGTAAAGGGCATGACTGATTTGGACATGATGAATCAAGTGATGCTTGATAAAAATACACAACACAAAAATTAACGCAAACTGCATAGCATTGTATATCGACGGTAATCGAGTGTCAATACAGCATAGGTACCGACAAAGCATAGGAGTAGGAAAACCCTTGAGAGTATTCTGGCCTCGTTTGAGGTAAAACAGGGCAACTTATCAACATAAAACGTGCACCATCCAGCCCATCCGTCTGTCATTTGATCAGCACCGCCCGTCACAAAGCTCATGGTTTCTCGGGGGTCGACTGACACTCGATCCCACCCAGCCCTGTCTGCAGTCAATCCGGGGCTATACTATCACAGCAGCGCCACATTTTCACGGAATGGAGGTCCGTTACAGTCCCGCTCTCCATCCCCGGGGACGGAGAGGGCACATGGAGGACACGGGAGGGCATGGTCGGCTCGGGACGGCTGCACTTCCGTGACTCAGCCGTCAGCGGCCGAGGCGAGCCAGCGCGTGCTCGGTGTCCGCTGAATCGCCACATTTCGTCAGAAAGATGGGCCGGACTCTCCGGGTGGTGACAGGCGACAGCAACACGCAGGCACCAGTTACAGATACTGCACTGCCTTGGTCTCGCAGATAAGGCGAGGGGCAGTGTCATGTTACTGTCACAGCACCGTCCAGTCACCACCTCACAATGCCGCATCGCGGGTCACAGATATGTGGCAGAGTAATGTCACAGTCATGGCACTTCCCGGTGTCACATGCACTGCGCTGTGTTCCTCCCACAATCGCAGATGTGCGACCGGGTCACATTCACATTCACAGCGCCGTCCTGGGTCACAGATGTGTGACGGGGCAGTACATCTCGTTAGTCACTAAGCACGGGTCACTGCCCGCCGGTGGGGGGCTGGACGGCGGCGGAGGGGCCCTCTCGGCCAGCTCTGGATCGCCGACCAGCGGAGCGATCTCGGCATACTGTCCTCGCTCCACCGCCGGCTCGTCTCGCTGCTCCCCGCGGAACGCCAGCGAGTCGCGTGGGTCCGCGTAGTCGGCCACGACCGGGTTAGGGCCGATCTCGGCGTAGATGTGCTCGTGCGGTGCGGGGTAGGAGCCAGGGTGTTGAGGCGAAAGGTCCACGCCAGGCGCTGCTGTCAACAGGTCTGGCAAGCCCTTCTCATAGCGCAACTGCGTGCCGTGCGCTGAGCCGCCTCCAACAGAGGACAGGGTCGAGTTGGCGGCTGTGCATGCCGTGCGCCGACTCTGCAGGGTGTCGCAAACAGACGGGTCCTCCCCGCGCGACGCTCCGCTGCCGGCACAGCCGAGCGCGCGGCTCACCCGGCGTCGCTTCGCCACCAGAAGACAGATGAACGCCAGCACCACTGCAGACACGCCGCCGATCACACCATAAAACACGACACTCTGGTCCAGACTGGTGTCTTCGCCACCACCGCTGCCAGCACCGTCATCCGGCCACCCCCAGTCCGGGCAGTCAGCGGCCGTATCGCTGAGAAGCAGCGGGTCGCCATCGGCGTCAGTACAGAAGCTGCGGTCCCACACGATATCCGTGAGGGCCCGCTGCGTGTCCGTCATGGCCGCCGCATCGTCACCGGCCACCAGAGCGGCGACATCAGCGCGCGTCTCACACGAGCACGCCGTATCGAACGTGATGGAGTCCCAGTTGACGGCGCTGGCTGGCACCGACGGATGCACGGCCAGGGCGCCGCTCTCAGCTCGGCCCACGTGCAGTAGGTGGATGGTGAACGGTCGCCGGTCTCGGCGGCGACAATCGGCCAGTTTCACGGCAGCCAGTGCGTGGCGGCGCAGATCAACCACTCGCGATTCCATGATCGCCACCGAGCCGCACACGGACACATCGAGCGCACGCGCCGCCATGTCGCGCACGTGCAGCCGCTCGAGCTTGAGGCGCTGTACCTCCATGCTCACGGCGCCACTCAGCAGCCGGCTAACGTTGCTCGCTTCCAGATTGAAGGCGTCTACCTTGCCGGTGAACGCCGCCTCGCGCACGTCTCCCAGGTCACAGTTGTTGACCGATACGCGACCCCAGGGGACGTCCGGCTGAACACAGCGGGACTCCAGCGACTGCAGACGGCAGCCGAGCAGACTCAGAGTGCCCACCTTCCCTCGGAACGTCCCAGGCTGACAGGCGCGCATACTGACGTTGACCAGAATCAGATGCTTAACGGTAGCCCGGAATGCATCGCTCTTGGCGTGCAGATCGGCGACGTTCTCTAGCAGCACCCGCGGCCCGGCGCCGTCCGCCTCGAAGTGGAGCGCTCGCTGCTCCATGTGCATGTTGCCGATGTGATGCATCTCGAGCTCAGCATCGGCTGGCCAGCGGCCCGACAGTGCATCCTGGCGCAGTGTGACCTGACGAATCCGGTCCAGCCGGAGCGTCTGCAGACTGGCCGCCTCGTGCAGCGCCAGTCCATCCGAGAGCACCTCCAGTGAGTGCACGTCGCGTACGGTGAGGTCACGCATGCCGTACAGGTCGTACAGTGCGCGAGGGCCGATCGTCACCGACTGTGCCGGGAAGATCTCGATGTACTGCACTGTGCTCGGTATGTCGCCGCTTCGCAGCTGCATCTGGGGATAGAGAGGGTCGAGGTTAACATCGCATGATACCGCATGGGCACAGCCAGTGGGCGGGGTAAGATCGGGTGGGGTCAAGGGTGAGCGATGGAAGGAATTATCACCTGGGAATAGAGATAAGCCACGGCTGGCCAGGTAGCGGTATGTGTAAAGGGTGGACACTGGGCTGTGATTTCATTGTTTACATGACTTTGGTATGCAGTAATCCCTGGTCACTGAACTCCGATCCTAAGTCCGGCTCTCACAGGACTAAAACTTGAGTACGACCCACTTTGTACGCCTCGTAACTCCCAGCGCTGAACTTCAGTCGAGGTGATTCATCCCACAGTGCTGTTTAGGTACTGCCCCCCCCCCTTCAACCGATAGCCAGTCAGAGGCCTGTCTCTTGTCTGTGCCGCTGTTCACTGAGCCGTCATAACAGCCTGTCTCCTGCTGCTTTGGTCTCTGACCGTCGCACAGTGGGCGATCCGGCGGGTGTAGCCTCGTGAAACCTATCGGCATTCATAACATCCATGTTTTTGAAGCTAGAACCACAATATTTAGGGGCAACCTTCTTGAATATCCAATGAGCATATGTTTTAAATAAGGACTATCTCTTATAGGATTTGTGCTCTGTGGTGAGCTTGCAATTTGCCTAATTGCTGCTCGAATAACGCATGAATACTTTTGAGGGTAGGTCGAAATTTATGACGGTATGAGCTGGGTAGGACATTGAAATGGTGTGTACCTCCGTAGAAAATTGCCTCCAAACTATTTTTTTTTTTTTTTAAACGATTATGCCCTAACAATTTATACATATCATGAAACAGCGTAAATCTCGCCCGGCAAGGCCCCATTTCATAACGTGACCCAAGAAGCGGGTTTGGTTTTTGGTAAATAACTTCGCAAAAATTGGCCGCAGAACCACGAATTTGACATCGTCGTGTTCGTCTTGCTCAGGCGCGTCGAATGGTATACTTTTGTTCAGGTGAGGCCACCGTAAGGTCAACCTGACCTTGACCTCGAAACAAGGTCAGGTCAGAGGTCTTCAAATCACGAAGTTGGTCGAAGGAGGTCATATCGCATATCATTCGATTCGGAAGGTCTTTCGGAGTCCATTGGTGACCTTGTCGACTCTCTAGCTCAACTTGCTCGGGAGTTATTGACGAAAAACTCGTATGGCCCTAGTGACGTCATAAATGACGTCATGCAAGGTCAACCATGCAAAAATGCAGCATCAGATCTTGCAAGGAGTGCATGAAGTAACGATTCCATGTACTTGAGACAATTGAATATCATTCCTGGCGCCAAAATAACAGTTTTCATATTTCCCCATTGACTTATAGGTGAGGTCACGTGACCAGCCTGACTTTATGTGACATTTAGGAAAAATCTGAGATATACAAGTTGTAAGACCTCTGAAGGACAATAAGTTCTGCAAGTCTCACCTCCCTGTGAAAGTTACTCTGGCACTGAGAGCGTTGTAAGGTTGCGACATCTGAGGATCGTGCAGTCACACTGCAGTGGTTCATGTATGACGTCATAGGTCAATGACCTGACCTGACTTGAAAGTGCGGTTGGTGTCACAAGAGCTAGCGTGCATCAAAGGTCAGGTATGCCAGGTTGCAGCTCTCTATTGCCTGGGTGTTTTGAGCTATCGCGAAAACACCCTTTGGGGTATTTACCACTTGTGCTCAAGTGCACCAAGCCACGGCCAACCCTTGGAAGAAAAAAGTGTCTGGATGCCAGAGCTGCAAGTGGCTGCAAATTTTCACTTTCTCCCCTAATAGATAGTGTCTTAGTGCATGCGATACAGCATTATTTTCAGTTCATCCTCGTAAAACTTTTTTTGCTGGGCTTGGTTAATTCAGTGAACGTAATGTTTAGTGGTAGAAAAAAATATAAAAAGTTAACCTAATTATAAGACATTTTGAACTGATTTTGTCTACTTGCTTTCTATGGCGGAATCGTCTAAACACCTAAATTTCACTTTCCATGCAAAATAGATGCTCAACACCTAGCAATTTCATCGTTCCGCAAAATATTCTAAGAGCGTAAAAATCGGCTGTGATTATCCCCTTTATGAAGTGTTACGGAACACTGTCTTTAACGATACTTTTGTCTACGAAAAAATGTCTCCTGAGCCATGCAAATGCACTAATCGTAATCTTTGATGAATTTTCTGTCGACTAGTATGCGTTGTTTTCCAATTTTCGGGAAAAAGTGTCTTTGAGGTTTCGCGAGGCTAGACCGGCCCGATCGCCTACCGTGCGTCGCAGGGGCCCAGCGAATAATTAGCGGCGACCAGACGGCAAGTAGCCCGGCCAGTTGAGCTCGTTTATGCTCATGTGTATGGATGGCCGGTGGTTGGGTTCCAGATCAGTGATCTCGTCGCTAGTCTGCCCCTCTGCTGTCTACTTATATAAAACGCCACGCTGCCCAAAGGTGGGAAATTGACCACAGTGAAGTTTTAAAGTTGACCGGTAAAAAAGCATTCACCGCCGTCAAAAAATAGATTCTGTTAACCATGGACTATCACGTTTGCCTATATGAGAACAGTGCGCAGCCAACTGGATTGTTAACTCCTAGCTTATCGCGTTTCGTTGCGAGCTGCAGCGGCTGCAGTAGCGGTTCGTCCGGCGTCCAGCGACCTTCGCCGAACGCTCTGTTCCTGTTCTGTTCCGTTCTACAGCGAACTGGCTGACCTCATGTCAACGTCATCCGTCGCGAGGAAACCCACTCAGCTTCCAGTTTTTACCAACATAATGAGAACAATGTCTCAATGGCCAATGGGTTTCAGTCGTCGACGGAAAAAATCGACTGATAGTCCTGGTGCTATTGCATGACGAACGTTGCTTATTTCCCGGATGGTATGAGCCACGTCTTCAAGTGTCTACCGATAGTCTGAATTTCGTTGACGCATATCGATAGACTGTTATGGAATATAGGATTGGTAACTTTTCCTCAGCTATGAGCAGCGTTGCGTATGTCGGAAGGAGACTCGGTTCAGTTTAACTGAGTGCGCCCGTGAATCGGCGCGCGCTTTCGGGAGGGGGAGTGGGGGGGGGGGGGGATATCGCCGGCTAGCTCACGTCATATTGCTTGATAAGGGCGCGATATGCGCACTAGGTCTGGGTCTTTGTTGAAGTCCGGAAGGTTTCGACACAGCACGTGGCTGTCTGACCGCCATGGACTGATATAACCAAACCATGAAATGAAACCACAAAATCATGAAATAATATAAGCACTGTGCTAAACCTTAGTTCATATAAATAGTTATATCTAAGTTACCTACTGAAATACGTGTGTGTTTTTTAAATCAAATTACGAGTAAGCGAAATTAATGCTTTTACAGTTGATATTTTACAGTTGATAATTAATTCAGCTTATTTGTGAGGTTAACCTTTTAAGCGTTTAACCTTCTCTGAATCTACCGGTTTTCGGCCTGCCCGGTTTGCAAGGAGCAGATGCGGCCCCTGCGCGAGTTTGTCACTAATAATTGAGCTGGAGCTTCGCGAAAGAGGGCGATTGGCTCCTAAGTCCTATGGCACCTAGAAAGACCAAATTTGGTGGGTTGGTGGCCCCCTTATACTTCTCACCCTTGTGCAAATTTGGTTGCTCTAAATCAATACTTAGGGGGTTTTGGGGGGTATAAATGTAAAAATTTCGCTAAAACAGCTCAAAGTTTTTTTTTTCGCTTATAACTTTTGATCTAATTAAGATAGAGCAAAAACAAAAGCACCGGTGAACTCAGCACGTCAAGGCGCGACGAATGGTATACTTTGTTGCTTGGTTAAGCATACTTAAGAAGTTAAGCACAACTTTTAAGTAAAACGTAAGTCTTAAGAATGGTCGAAATTGCGTAATGGTGCATATCATTCGACTCGGCTCTTCAAGAGGAACAGAATGATAGTAGACACTATTTTGAAAGCTGCATCTTTATTATGTGACAAGTTATTGGCACAAACGTCATTTGACCTCCCTCAGTTGACCTCACTTGACCTGATCCATGGATAAGTACCTACACCGACCAAACAAAGAAGCACCAAGTGACATAATCTCAAGAACTGAGGTTTCAAAGCGCAAAAGTGATAGAACGAAGCGGATATCTCCAGTATTTTCCGAATTGAATATTTTCCCATGGGCTTAACATTACGACGGATTGACCTCTAACTGACCTAAGGTTAGTGACATAAGCAAACGAACTATATGTTATAAAACTTGGTGGACTTAGCACATCCTGAAAGTTTTAAGAAATCAGTCCAAAACTGTGAGTTGGACAGGTGCATAAAGAAAATTGAAACTTGACCATGACCTCGTACCAGTTTTTCTGACCCGGTAACCTGACCCAAGGTTACCCGAACCTGAAGTTTTTTAGGGCATATGTACAAACTGTAGAAACTGTAAAAAGGTTGTCCCATAGGCCGTGCCAAATTTCGCCGTTTCTACGCTATTTTTGAAAAACCTGAGGGGGGTCGCTCGCATCGACCCCCCTTCCTACCAGGGCGAGGGTTAAAACTTAACCCGCGCATGACTGGGGTATTTTCCATAACGCGAGAGACTGGGGGGGGGGGGGGGCTCTCCAGAGCACCGCTTCTATCTCCGAAACTACTGGGCCGATCGTCAAAATTCAAACGGCGTCTGATACCTCTGGCAAAACTGTCGAGCGAAACCCATTTCGATTGACCTCGAGTCTACCGATGACGTCACAGGTCAGGTCAAAGTAAACATTATCAGCATTTTTGCTTGTTCACAATTTAGGCTCTGACCGCCGGCTAACAAGTCCGATCAGGCTCAATTTTGGTTTACGCACTCCTTGATATATGCGTTAGATACCCTGAGGGTACCGAGCTTTTACTTCGATTTTTTTTTCAGGTCAAGGCCAGGTCATCCAATGTCATGAAAATTAAATATCATGTATCGGTCACATGACACATGTTTTGTGGTCCATTTTACTCGCAGATTTCGAACACAGTTTCGTCTGTTTCATTTGATACCATTTTCAGCTGAATTTACCGGATGTCAGGTCACTTTCAGGTCAGAAAAGGTCAAATTTTGAAAATGATATTTTTCAACAAAAATGTGCCTATCAGATGCAGTTTGAGCTGAGGAGCACGCTGGTGCCACGTATATTGCTGCATAATGTCAAAAACGTACCGAAAAATGGCTTAGAAAAATATTTAATCGTAAAATTTTAACCCGCGCACCGACGGGGGTCTGCGCCAACTTCGCACCGACGGGGGGGGGGGCGGATGACCGCCCCCCCTGAGATCTCGAGAACGAAGCAAGATAGCGACAAGCGGTAAACGGCATCGGATACGCACGGCCAAGATCTACAATTTTTACTAAGGTCATTTTCAGGTCAGGTCAAAGATGACGTCACAGGGGTCGAAAAAGTCAAAATGGTGGCGCTAGATATGGAGAGAGTTTTTCTCGAATAACTTTCGAATTAGTCAAGATAAGAACAAACTAAGGGCACCATCGTGATCTTCTCGTCAATCCGCATCGAATAAAATATATGTTGACCTCGAAAGGTCAAGGTCAAAGGTTGACCTCAGGTCACGTGACCTCGAGGTCATCATGTATATCATTCGATGCGTCTTGACGAGCTGAACACAATGAGACCATCCACGCGTCTGTATCTTGTTCCTGTACGGAGTTATTGGCCAAAAACCTTTGGTGACCTTTGATGACGTCACATGACCTCACAGCTGCCCAACAGCAAAACAGACCTCAAGGTAGTGAAGGTTGATCGTATATGAAGTCATGTATGGTATATGAGGCCATTCCGACCCGTTTTAGTGGTAAAAACAGGGAGTTGATTTTTCCCCCATTGACTTATAATGGGGAGGTCGCGAAATTGACCTGACCTTAGGTCACCGATATCAAAATTCCGAGATATACAACTTGTAGCTACTAATGACCTTATAATATCCTGCGACTTTCAAAGGCCTCCGACATCTACTGTAGCTCTGGCACGGTGACAAAGTTGCAAAAAAGTGACTTGAGGTTGGGTCATTCAAAGTGACCTGGTGACCTGACCTTAAAAGGTAGGAAGTTCAAACTTGCACACCATGTGTAAAATTGATGAGGTTATAGTCATACCAAATTTCGCGGCGCTACGCGCCGCGGTTTTCCCGCTATTCGCGAAAAACCTCAGGGGGGGCGGATATCCGCCCCCCGTCGGTGCGCGGGTTAACCTTCGCCCCAGTGGGGGGGGGCATATGTTACCACCCTGTCGCGTTTTTCGCGTGTGAATAAAAAACCGCGGCGCGTAGCGCCGCGCCGCTTGGGGTAGCTTTTGGTACATCAATTTTGGACAATGTGTGAAATTTTTGACCCCAGGTCATGTCAGGTCAGGTCACCAGGTCAAGTTAACTGACCAAGCCTTAAAAAAAGTTTGCAATCATGTCCAGCCTGCAGTGTTTGTCAGAAAGGTTTTAAACTTGGTGGATTGCATGCTGTTATGGGAGCCTACAATTTGTATATCTCGGATTTTTTATATCCGCGACCTAAGGTCAGGTCAGTGGCGTGACCTTTCCATTACAAGTCAATGGAGAAAAATGAAAATGCCTCTAGATCCGTGTGTACGCATAGGAACAGTCCAAATATTTCAGAATCACAATGATTTAGTCCACTCATGATGACCAAGGTGTCATTTTTGCTGATAGCCTCTAGAAAGGTCATCCGAGGTCATTTGAGGCTACAAACAGTTTTTTGCCAATAACTCGCGATTGGAAAGAGATAGAACGCTGGGGATGGTCTCATTGTGTTTGTCTTGTTGAGACGCATCGACTGATATGCAACATGACATTTTCCGGTCAGGTCATGACCTTGACCTGAGGTCAAATTTTTAAGTTGACCTTTCAAGGTCGAATTATAGTTCATTCGACGCGTCTCGGTGAGGGGAACACGATTCTGGCAATAGAAATGTCGCGGCTTTTTGTAGTCGAAAGTTATTGTCGAAAAACACTTTTCGTAAAAACAGCTATTTTTGGAGTTTTTGCCCTCTGGAGGCTAAACCGTTGATCTGAGGACAATATTGATAGTGACCTTTTCAAATGAAGAGTTTAAAAGCTATCGATTGCTTTCCCATGCGTTTTTCTAGCTACCATAGTTCCTGAGATAGCGGCATGTTTTCTGAAAAATATAATGACAATTGGCAAATTTTGACCTTTGATGACCTCTGGTGACCCCAATATTGCTCTAAGGTGAAAAAGGACCGAAATACTTTCAAACGTACGTATTGAGAGCTATCGACTGCTTTTTACCGCGTCTTTCTAGCCCTCTTAGTTTTTGAGTTAGAGGTGGGTGGTAACATATGCCCCCCCTCACTAGGGCGAAGTTGGCCGAGACCGCCACTGGGGCGCGGGTTAACAATAATGCAAATAACTTGGCTATTTTGAAAGATATCGAGCTAAAACTTGCTAGAGTAGTTGATCAGTGTGTGTTTTATCACATATGTCCTGTTTTTTGCGAAAAATAAAAAACTTGTTGAAAAAAATAAAAAAAATATTTTTTTTTTTTTGTAATTGTAAATAGATATTTTTCAAAGTTTTCGAAATTTCGAAAATTCGAGTGAGCAGTTTGATAGCTACTTGTATTTGTAGTCCACTCATGCAAAAAAGTTGTCTCTAGCTTTAAATCTGAGCTCTTGAAAGCGTTTGCCGTAGTTCAATATTTTGCATCAAAATCGGCCGACATGACGTCACTCACTCTGACGTCATTTCCGGCCGAACTGTGGTAGCGGGAAAATTGAAATTTTAACACAATGTGTCAAATTGATGCTGCTGAAGGTACCGCAAGTTTCATGTTGATCCGTCAAACGGTTTATAAGATATCGTCGAATAATTGGAGGGGGAGTGGGGACTCTGTAGACCCCCCACCCAGCCATGCTCGGGTTTAAAGACGCAGTTACTGGCAGCCGATTTTATGGTCTCAGGTCAACAACCGGTGACCTCTGTGGTCAGGTGAAAGCCCCTAAGGGCGGCTCAAGGTCCAGCTGATAGCTGATAGTGAACAATACCTAAATTCGTATTAGGTTAGGTATTGTTCTTAAGCATGGCCTAGTGAAAGAAACTTGTTGAGTTCAGCTCAAGCAGGCCTCTGAATTCAAATTTCCATTCCTCCGTCACGAATGCACGGGATGGTTACTGCCCTGGGGACCTACCATCCGTCTCCCTCAGCCCGTTGCTCGGCAGACACCCCTCAGGTGCCCATCCGGCACGCACTCGATCACGATCTCACCTACCGTGTTGGTGTCGGGACAGTGGCAGCTCATGTGCGTCGCTCCCAGACATCTCGGTGAGAATGTGCAGCACCGGATGCTGCACGCCAGTGGCTCTCTGAAGCCGTGCACCCCCACCAGCAGCACACAGACGGCCGCCACCACCGCCGCCCGTGCAGCCATGACTGGCTGACGTTGCAGGCGGGACGAGCACGTGTCCCGTGCCCCGTGCCCTCTGCGGGGTCCACGGCGCCCCACCGGACACCCTACGGCCGCACCAGTGCAGTGTCGAGCCGCGCCGACAGCGGTCGGCCGCTGCTCGCCGCTGCTCGCCGCTATCAGACCACAACTGTCGATAAGGGTCCAATCGCGGCGCAGCGGCGGCGGCAGCAGGGGCGGACGGTGCGGATTTCCCGCACGGTTTCTGTCCTCGGTCTCACACCAGGAAACATTCACACATACAGAGGTCACTACAGTGAGGACACATGCCCAGTTGCGCGGACAGGCAAGCAGGTAATGAGCTGCTGTGTAGCGCTTGACAGCGTGACAATATACGGGAAAATGTATTTCTCCCGCTACTCGCTTGTTTTGCATTGAAGTTTCAAGTTCCTTCATTCTTCCAAATCCATTTTCTTCCCATGCATTGTATGGCTTTGAAATAACGCACCACTTATTTATCCATTATATAATAAGGTACTGATATTCAAGACTTTTCGCGTTTCAATTCTGAGGTGTCATCACATTCTCAATATCATAAATGTGACAACTAGAACAGACAGTCTGCCTCAGTCAATGCAGCTATAGTTGTCAGCCAGAGAACTACGGATGTGTAACGGCAGGGAAACAAAACGCACCCGAAATGAAAAAAATCAAAAATCCGAAACATCAGTGTTACCTATAGCCCTGTTAATTCTACACTTTATATGTCTGATCATTTTCCTGCTTCTTCAAAGCTGTAGGCCTGACAGCTCTTCTCGCGAAACCTTTTTTTTGGGTCGAAAATGGCAGAACGTCATTTGTGGCCAACGTGTCATAGCCTCTGGAAAATTTTGGTCACAATGTGTAAAATTCATGCCCGGAGGAGTCCTAAAAGTTTGGTGGCGATATCTGCAGCCGTTTAGGAGATAAAGGACAGGGGGCGGGGGGGGGGGGGGGTGTTTGACCCCTCCCCCCTACGGGGCGCGGGTTAAACGTCCCGCTGTGCCAAAGTTTCAAAAAGTCATGTTATGGCCTCAGTTGCCACTTGCCTACCTACACCTATAGTGATTAAATCATAGAAGATCACGTGTCACTCTACCGAATAGGTACGCTGTGGAAGTGTTGATTTATAGCCAGTAGCCACCGTGGACAAGATTCTTCAAGATAACCGTGCGGATACGTCAGTGCTGCGTTGACGGTCCGAGCCAAGGCCATATATGATGTAACCGATCATTGACGGTCCGAACAATCTTTAAGAATCTTGGGTCCGATAGAACTTTTCTGGGGTAGTAGCAAGATCCCTTGGGTAATGGTAGTAGCAAGATTCCTTTACTTAGTAGGCCTGTGATGTTTTCCTTCGGATATGGTAGCGCTGCTTCCTACCTTATTTGTAGACATCTAAGGCGTGTTCAAGACAAAATTGGCGCTAAGGATTTCTCAGGGAGCGCAGGGCGCTAAAGGTGGGATGTTTCATAACAATAACAAGGGCGTAGGTTAGCTTACTTTGTATTTATCAAAAATTTATCTGCCTGGCTCTAGACTGGGCTCTGGGTCATCCTTTTGTTGCCTGGCTGTAACGTTTTGCCATAAAAAACATCGACATGATGTTGGTGAGACCTGGCATAAACAAATGCATCACAATCAGTGGATTTGGTGGACGGGCTTTGACAAAAGAAACCAAAAAGTGTTTTTCTTTGAATTCCTGCCATTTCAAAGTAAGCGCATGTCCAGTATATGGGGAAGACCACAGAGAAATCCAGAATACACTGAAGAAGGTGAGATCCATAGATGTTGATGTTAAGTACTTTTGAAAAATGCTGTCTGCTTTGATTTTGATATCCATTGCGGCTCACAGTCAATCAATTTATCCACTCGATCATGATGGTTATTTTAGTTTATGTTGGGTCAAAATTTTATTGTTTTTGATTTTGAACATTTAAAACATTTTTTGTTACCTATAATTGATGAGAAATGTGCTAAACTGCTAAAGACCTGAACTGAAGACTGCAGTCTTATTTATTTAGCATGTCGTTTGTTTAACTTGTTAAGTAAATTGCACCTTAATTATACCTATTAGGTAGCTAATGATTTGGATGCTTCAAACTGTTTATTTCTGGTGTGTTTGTTCTTTGCTTTGATACTTCGTTCGAAGCTCATATGCATTTGCAATCGGTACTTTTTTCAAACCAATAAGGAAAATCTGTCTGTGATTAGTTGTTTGCATAATGCAATCTCACTTTATTCACTGATTTTTCTTTCAGATTATAGATCAAGATATCAACCCACATGTTGACCAGTGGGAAGCTGATGGAGCATTTCCTGCTAAGGAAGTTTTTAAGAAGCTTGGCAATGCTGGGCTACTGGGAATAACTAAACCAACTGGTGATGAGTAGAACATGACATGATGACATCCAATCACTAATGTCAATTTACATGATCATATGGTATAACAATAACTATGAATAGAGTGGGAGCCATTTGGCTATTGTCCACTTTATCTTTTTTCACAATAGTTCCTGTTGCCTGTTGAACACCTCAACCTGAATCAAAGCTATCAAGCACTCAAGTTTTAAAATATCTTTTAGAACATCCATTTGTCTCAACTGACTCTTGTGAAAGGAAACCATGAGCCCTTGTCTCCAATCAGTCTTAAAAGTAGACACTTGTGCCAGACAATGTAAATCATTTTCCTGTTGCAAAGGGATACCTACCTTCTCTTTAGGAGACCTGTCACACATAGTCTTATATAGCCCAGCTGTCATTTACAGATTTACCAAAACAGTATTCTTGCACGGAAGTTCTGTGTGATTCTTATTAGCTTGTTCCTGCTTCAAAGGAACCTCGATGTCGCATGCCAACGCATGCCAGCAAGAAAATATACTGCAAGTTGACACATGCAGTATATTTTCTGTACTGCTGCATACCGTGCCTAGTTGGTGCATAATTCGATCCACTTACTGTTCGGCAGAGTATGGCGGCTCTGCTCTGGACTTCTCCTACAGCGTGGCTGCCAACGAGCAGCTCGGAGCGGTGCACTGCGGAGCCGTGCCGATGGCCATTGCTGTCCAGACGGACATGTCGACTCCGGCGCTGGCCAGGTGAGACATGGAGGGCTGTCTTGGGGCTGCTGGGTTTTCAGATTTGATAACTGTGCTGGTCCTGATCCAACATATGTCAATTAGTCACGTGAACCATGTCTGGTTAGGGCCGAGATCGCTGGGATGTATACCCCCTCTCATTCCAAGCCCCATCTCCTTCAATGATAAGTTGTACGCTCTCACGTGAGTCACATCAGTGACCCTCAAACATGCCCTTCTGTCGTGTCGGCAGGGCGGGCAATGACCGCCTGAAGAGGGAGTTTCTGGCGCCGTCCATCGCCGGTGATCTGGTGTCTTGTCTGGGTGTCAGCGAGCCGGGCGCCGGCTCCGACGTGGCTTCCATCAAGGTGGGCTCAGTTCAGATGTGATTTCAGCGAACATGATGATAATATCGAGAAATTGGAGATATGACCACATGTTAGTACGGAGTAGCCTGTAACCGGTTGATTGTCTGATCGGTGAATCACGTCCAGATATGGCGATGACCAAACGAAAGTTGCGGCCACTAAAAAAAAAAAAGACTACCGAGACAGCAGAGCATACTGAAGCCGGCTGTTCCTTTACGTGTGTTCGTGTGCGGTTCTTCGTGTCGCCTTCGTAGACTGGAACGGATAGTTCTGCTTCGTGTGTTCTTGGCCCAACGCCCACTCACTAACCATTGGAGAGTAGTCGTTTGGCCGTTCACGAGTATCTGCGACTGTGTAAAAGTGTATGACCCTCTCCTTACCCCTGATCGTCGTCAGACGCGAGCCGAGCGGAAGGGAGACGACCTGATCATCAACGGCCAGAAGATGTGGATCACAAACGGCTGTCAGGCTGACTGGATCTGCCTGCTGGCAAACACTAGCGCCGGGCCTCCGCACCGCAGCAAGTCGCTCATGTGCGTGCCCATGGACACCAAAGGTGGGTTGGGTGGCCGTTGAGACTTTAAACGCTTCTGTGGGCGACAATGAAGGTAGTCACAGGTAAGCTGACTCGTAGGTATCTCGTATGCTATGCGCGCTAAGAGACACTGAAGAGGGTGATTGAAAGGAAAGGATACAAGGGAAAATGGCCTGTGTAACAGTGTGTGCGCGTATGACTGAAGATACAACATGCTCTTTCCCCTGTTGTTGCAGTTGTAATGTCATCCAGTTTGCTCTCTCTACGCGGATTTTGGAACCTGGGTATGACGAAGTCTATCCCCTGTGGCTCACCAGGCATCACCATCGCCAAGCGTATCGACAAGATGGGCATGCGCAGCTCGGACACGGCGCAAATCTTCTTCGAGGATGTGCGGGTTCCTGCCGACAGCATTATCGGCGAGGAAGGCATGGGCTTCACCTACCAAATGCAACAAGTGAGACACGTAAACGGCTTTCCGCCATCGATAGACATTGGACGAGGTGAAGGACAGGGTGAAGAACAGGAACGCTTTCTGACCAAATCATATTGTTCCGCTGAGCTGCTAGCCAATGAAGTACTACCGAGACTACCGAAATTCAATTAGCTCCTAACTATGTGATGTGGATACATATGGCGCTGGGGGTTCTGCGCTCTAGTGTGTAAGTTTGTTTTACTCATACTCAGTCCATGTCCGCTTGGTACGTGTCATGTAACTAGTTTGGTCGTACCGATGGTGTGTGTCCACTGTTCAGTACCATTACCCATATGCCCTGTGTGTTCAGTTCCAGGAGGAGCGTATGGCCGGTATCGCGCTGAGCCTGGCGCCGATGGACCTCATCATCAACCAGACGATCGAGTACGCGCGCCAGCGGCAGGCGTTCGGCCGCTCCATCCTGGACAACCAGGTGGTCCACTTCACACTGGCCGAACTGCAGACGGAGGTGGAGCTGCTGCGGTCGCTGCTCTACCGCGCCGTCGGTGAGTGAAGGGGCACTGTGGGGGCACGGGCCAGCTTCGCTTATCTACTAGGGTAGTGACCTGACCGCCTCCGTCCCTTCACAAGGACTGTTCCTCCTGTGTGCTTGTTGCTCTACCGCGCCGTCGGTGGGTGAACGGGCACCGCGGGCTGTGGCATGTCAGTCTTTCTACTAGGGTAGGGGGCTGGTGACCCTTAACCGTCCCCATCCCTTCATAAGGAACTGTTCCCCGTGTGCTTGCTGCCTTATCGCGCCGTCGGTGGGTAATCGGGCTCTGCGGGCTGTCCCTGTCATTCTTTCTACTAGCGTGCTATGCAGTTTACACTCGAGGCCGTCCCCGTCCCTCTACAAGGGACTGTGCCCCTGTGTGCTCGCTGCTTTACGGAGCCAACAGTGAGTGAACGGACACTGCGGGTTGTGTGTGTGTGTGTGTCAGTCTAAAAGGGATAATGCTCCTCAGGACTTCCTCATCCCTCTAGCAGTGATTGTTAATTGTTTACTCTGTGTGGTCCCCGGCGCGTTACATGAGGATATCTTGAGGTGACTCGAAACCGCGGGCCGCCCCCTTTCTTCTATCAGGGTACCTTATGCTCGTGATGGATGTGAAGTTTATGAATGCTGCTTCACCGATACAGTGTTGAATCTATGCATCAGTGTGATATTTTCCGTGCAGTATTATCTGTATGCATTTATCGAATGAGTCATTATTTGATTCTAGGCTGATTGGAGAAATTCTGTATTTCTCCGTTTGACGAATCGCTAGGCTCTGTCTTGTATGCCTTGTAACTATGATCTCCGTCTTGTGTACTTACGTGGTTTCAGAGGTGTTTCCCTAATTGGACGCACTATGTGGCTCAGTTGGGTCAGCGAGCTTTCAAGGCTCCTCTGCCATCCCGCCGGCCAGCTGGGTTCACTGCTGGTGTTCTGAGCACCTATTTGACATGCATTACTGTCGGTTCCCTTCAGAGTCGTACGTGGCCGGCCAGGACGTCACTGAGCTGGTCTCCATGGGCAAACTGAAGTCGGGCCGTCTGGTGCGTGAGGTCTCCGACAAGTGTCTGCAGTTCTGGGGCGGAATGGGATTCACAAACGAGGTGAGAGCAGCTCTCGTGGTTTTGGAGTCAGCCGTGTCTCAGTATTAGAAAGCAAGCATATGGAATGTGGTGCATTAGGTTCTCTTTTATCCTGTTGCTTCAAATTCCCAGCTAATAACATTATAGTCTTCAGTTGTCGGCAATGCTGGTAAATGCTGTTCCTTTTTTGTTTTTCTTCCGTTTCAAAGTCGCTTATTTTCTACCTACTTTCTACTTATTTCATCCCCCTCTCCGCATGCAACAGACGTGACCTACCGTAAAGGGAATGGAATTGAAGCGCCTGGTGGGCCGTTGCTGCATCATGCCACGAGCTGCGGCTGTTGAGGCATCAGTGACTCAATACGACAAATGCCTGTCGCACTTGACCTGGCCTGACCTGACCTGACCTGACCTTCCCCCAGGTGCTGGTGAGTCGGATGTATCGCGACCTGCGTCTTCTCTCGATCGGAGCTGGCGCAGACGAAGTCATGCTCGGCATCATCTGCAAGTTCATGGGCACGCTGCCAGCGCCGGCCCGGTAGGTGGCCGCAGCCGGCACTATCAGTTCCCGCTCAGACCGTTAGGTGGCAGGCCAGCCAGGCCAGCCCCTCGCTATATCGTGGGCTGAAAAGCAGCGGATGTGAACGGAAAATGCATCTCGCTTGAGGTGCAATGGGTGCTTTTGGGGTATTTGGTGTTTTTGCACTGGTACCTGACAATTATCAATGCAATATGTGGCCGATTTTGGTACTGATATGCAGAAGAAGTAGCATATCGTTGATGCACCTCGTGGAAATGTTATTAGTGTAAGCACGAATATGCCGGAACGGACTGAACTAACCTATTGTTAAACTAAGAGCCTCTATTTGATATGGTTATACAATGTGCATTGCAGATCGTGAGTAACGTGAAACATAAATATATTTGTCGTTATACATTTTTGTCATTCAGATACCACCTCCTGGATCCTAACCGTGCACTGGCGTTTTCCTGGCTGTAGCTCAATTAACTGATATCGCTTGCGACGCATATATTTCTAAATCTAGTGAAATGGAAGAATAAG